TACTATGTATCCTGATTGTAAGTGCATTGCATATACCTCCTAGTTAGTAGGAAGCAGGAAGTTATATTGATTTGCAAACTAGTTTCTGGATTTGAGATCCTAGCTTGTAGAGAATCATGCTGACTGGTTTTGGATAAAACTAGACTTTGATTACTCTTAGAGTACATTGGCTAATTAGCCCATCGTATTAGCAGAAAATGCCAAATATGGCTGAAATGTAAGTAAGACATTATAGAGTCATCTGTGCCTTCTCTATTGTACTAAAAACAATATATGAGATCCTCAACTGATAAAAGCAAGTTGGTCAGCACATGTTAGTATCCCTAGGCCAATCTAGAGAATGACCATGTCATGTGTAAGATTGTGATAGAAAGGAAAATATATATAGTTACTAAGAATGTAACAATTAAAAGAAGCAAAGAAAATGCAGAGCAGTTTTGATGGTAATTTTAAAAAAAATGTTTTGGAAGAGGGTGAAGAGGGCTAAACAAGCAGAGTGAATGGGAATAAAACAAAAGTGATGAAAAGATTTGGGACCAAGCCAAAGTGAGGAAATTGTTGGAAAGAGTATTTTAGAGATTTATATGGAAACGATAGTGATATGTTAAAGAATGGAACTGAAATGAATGCTATAAATGTTAGGGTCCCAGTAAAAAAAACTATGAAAAGGAAGTCGTAAACACTCTGAGAATGCTGAAATAATGGAGAAGACGGTTGTATAAATATAGAGGTGTAACTAGAGAAATCTTAAATATGATATGGTTTACTTATGGAATGGCTATGAAACCTGTTTGTGTGTAGGAAAATTGCACTGGCGTCTGCCAACTGGAAGAATGCCATCATTGTTTCCCTATATAAAGGGAAAAGCAGAAAGAGTACAGTGTGGCTTAATGCCAGGTGCAGGGTATGCAAACCAGATTTTTGCTCTTCAGCAGCATGTTGAGAAGTGCACAAATGTTATCAAGTTTATTGCATGTTCGTTGATTTAGAGAAAGCATATGATAAAGTGAACAGACTTGATTTATGAAGCCCTTTGCCTAGGTATGAAGTTAAACCTGGGTTGATGAACGCAGGAAGAGTAAAATATGATTGAAGGGAAGCATGTGTGAGAATAGACTGAATCCTTAGCAAACCTTGAGAAAAACTTCCATGTTTTCTTGAGTTACATCAAAGAACACCCAATGAAGCTTGAGTATAATAAAATTCATGGGACTCCCAGCTCTTCAAAGCAATTCTGTTTATAGTATAGCAGTTTTTACTCCATTATATCACAGAAATTATATAGAAACATAAACACATACTTTATTCCAGAGATTTGCCCTAAATACCCGAATTCCTACTCTCAATTACATGCAATAAATTGCAGTATTTCATTGTGACATTTCCCCAGGGATTTCAGAGGATGAAGATTCTCTGAATGATACTTCTTAGCAACTGCAATGTGACAATAAATTAAGTGTTTAGGTCAAACCTGTAACAATGTGTCTTCTGGAAAATTTTCTTTGGCAAATTTCTTAAGAACATCAAGCACCAGGAAGTTTATCCCAGTTCCCAGTTCAATTCTAGAATCTGTCTTTCTCAATCATTATGGCAAGTTTGTGTTTAATTGATAGAGAATTAAATTAATTAAGTTCCTTTATAATTGTATTGTATTGTATTGTAAATAATGGATTGGAAAGAGCAGCAGCCAATCCCTTTCCTTGCTCCAAAACTATTAAAGTAACACTCAGAACTATTAAGTCTGGAATTCACAGTTTATGCCCACAGATGACAAACTAACATTTACTAAGTGTTCTCCACAAAGCAATGAAATTTTCAAATAGTTCAGAAAAAAGTAGAAAATGTTCAAGAGATAATCAGAAAACTATTTCCTGAGACATTTCAGCTCAACTTTAATATTTTTTCCTTATTTTTCTGTTTCCTTTGTATTTTTAAGGCTACAGGTACGCATTAGAAAACATATAATTTTCATCCTATTTGAACAGCATTAACCATGAGTGAAATCTAAAGCCCAAAATTATATGTTTTCAGTTCTATAAGGATCTGTAAGCCAGATGGCTTGAATGCTTCTGTCTTTATATTTTAGTCACATTAGTGCTACATGATATAACATAAGTGATGTCATCTACTTTTTAGAAATAGTAATTACAAATAAATCCAGCAGCAAGGACTGCATATATGAACATACAAACAAAACTGCGGGTGTTATGTCTTCGTGGTGACAGAATAAATATCCAAAGGAAAAAAAGCTACCCAGTGGCGAATGTCTGATTTGCAAAAGCAGACCTTGACACAAGAGTCTACCATGTTAACAACATTTTCCATTGTATTTACATTAACAGGGTCTGGTCTGACTCCTAAAAATAAAAAGAGTGGAAGAGATCAGAACTTTTGAGATTTTTCTGGTTCAAACTATATAATACCAATATACAAACATTCCATTTGCTGAATGCTTACGCTATACTATTTATAATGTAAGTAGAATTTGTTAGGAAGTATATGTAAATATAAGATGTCTTTATTTAATTTAAGAGTGGCTTAGGGAAGAAGAAAGTCATTCCCAATTGCTAGACATTTTCTTCCCATATTTCAAACCAAACACTGATAATAGGCATGTGTACCTGTTTTGTGTGTGTGTGACAGAGACAGAGACAGAGACAGAGACAGAGACTGAAACTATATTAGCTATGAGAGAGATTGTATTGGATGTGTGATTTTGTTAGCCCTGACTCCTAGCAGATTGCCTGGAGTAATCCCTGCAGTTTTCTTGGCAAGAAGTGTTAGAGCTGAGAGAATGACCAGCTGAAGGTCACTCAGTTGGCTTTGTGTCAAAGGTGAGAGAGCAACTCTGATTCCCAAATTTTAGCCTGGTGCCTTAACCACCACACCAAACTGGCTCTCTGTAACTGTTCTTTACCAGTTAAAAATTAAGGACTAGGGCCTGGTGTATATTTATTCCTCAAATAATTTCAAATCAAAGATGTTTATGAAGACATAATAATTTAGATAATAATCTAAACCTTTTGGCAATTGAAATAAAAGATATTTAGCTTTGGAACAAGAATGTACAATTATAGTCATGAATGTTTAGGAACTTCCACATGGCCAGTAGGAGGTAATGCTGACCTGAAACACATAAGGTTCACAAGCCCAGCCAACGAAATTACTATGATTTCAGTTAAAAGAAAATAGAATAGAATAGAATAGAATAGAATAGAATAGAATAGAATAGAATAGAATAGAATAGAATAGAATAGAATACCAGAGTTGGAAGGGACCTTGGAGGTCTTCTAGTCCAACCCCCTGCTTAGGCAGGAAACCTTATACCATTTCAGACAAATGGTTATCCAATCTCTTCTTAAAAACTTTCAGTGTTGGAGCATTTACAACTTCTGGAGTTGTAAAAGTTGTAAAAGCTAAAGCCAGCTTTTTAAAAAATGGCCTAAAATATTAGAGCATAGAAGCAGAATTCAATAGAGTTATAAGTGCAATCAGAATCATTCACAATAAAAACTACAAATAGTACTGCACACTAAGTATGGATTCTGGGTATTGTAAGAAATATATTCTTCTACATTCCATTTATCCTTTCTTACTATTTCTCCCTAAAAATGAAGGATAATCTGAAACCAACATTATAATACTTATCATGACTAATTCATTTAGATTTTATTCCCCAGTGTGAGAAAATTATAAATAACAAGCCTCATTGTAGATATGTTTGGTCCAACTCAGGGGTTTCTTGTTTTCCCCCATCCTCTGACTTTTGGTTAAGGTATCGCTTGTCTACATAAAGAGAATTTTAAGCCAAATTTTGCACAAAATGGAGAAATTGTCCTCCAGTGTAAAGGTGACGTGACCTGCATGAATTGCCCTGGATAAACTCAGAGTGGCTCACTATTTCTATTGTACTAAGTTTAATTTGAAGATTTCAGTTAGGATTTAATTATGCTTTTAATGCATGCTGATCTAAATAAGTATCTGTTAATTAAAACTGTCCCATTTGCTTGTAATACTAAATTCAGCAATTGTTTGAATGAATCAGTTTCCAGAAGATATAAAATAGGACAAACCAGGCATCAATAAACTGAGGGTACTCATTTTCTCTGAATATCTGGGCTGTAGACCTAGTATTCAAACTAAATTACTGTACCCAATAACATCATTTTTATAGCATGGGAATTTCTACAGAGATTTCTTTCTTGATGTTCAATTCTTAAAGCAAGTTGCTTCTAATACTGCCACTCGTGCTTGTCATGTAAAAAAAAATTCCCTTAGATTACTATCTTCATGTAATGTATTAAATAAGCAAATTCCATTTATTCATATTTGTCTCCTCCCATGCTCTATAATGATAACCTCCGCACAATATATCACTAGTTTATCTGCCTCAATAATTTATCCACTGGATCAGTGGTGGGTTGCCCCTGGTTCTCACCAGTTCTATAGAACCGGTAGTATAACCGGCAGGAGGCTCTGCCCACTGACCCTGACGTCATCAAAATGCTTCTGCGCTTGCACAGAAGAGCACACGCGCGCACTTGCTTCGCTCATGCACGCGCGCTTCCCTGTTGTGAACAGGTAGTAAAGGTAAGTAGAACCCACCCCTGCACTGGATATTTGGTATCAGATATTTAGTAATGAGATGGCAATATAGAAAACACAATAATGCTTTTAGCTTTGACTTTGACTTGTTTTATCTATAACTTTTTTAAAATAAATAATCCATGACATTACAGTTCCAATGGATGGAGGGAAAAAAATCTTTAGAATTCTGTCTGAATGATATAAAGGGGGATAAATCAAAAGCTAAATTTTAAAACAACAGTGGAGGGGGCAATAGAGCAGGCATGAAACTAGCCATTTTGTACACAACTACAATACCACAATTAATGAAAACGAATCTACTATCGGTGGTATCTTAGATGTGAAATACAATTGTTGCCTAGTCAGAGGCACAAGAGAATAAAAGAATCCTCGTGCTGAATGTTTCTTCCTACTTTTGTTATTATATTTATTCCCGTAGCATGTACATGATTAAAAACAGGCAAGTTACACAATCTGATGGTTCACTCAATCCACCGTGTGACAGAATGCTTGCAGTGGGTGGTGAAGTGCACTTTAATTGTTGCCAGATTCTTTTCATTCCCATCTTGCTCAATCTTCTGAAGGCAAAAGGAATGCTTCTATATAATGCCATTTAAAACCTACAAGGATAAAAAAAAAAGCTTATTATTCTAATGCTTTCACAGAACCTGTAAATTTAGTATTAAACTATTGAAGGTCTTATCATTCATCTGGCTCATTCATCTGTTCCCAGGCAGCCTTAAAGTATACATAGAGCAACAGCACAAACCTTCTATCAAAAGCAAAGAATTGCAATTATACCTGCCTGGGTTAGTGTCCTTTAGACTGAGGTCCCTTAATTGCTTTTTTAGACTTTCTCTCTCACAGTATAATTCCTAATAGATGATACAGTATTTTGGAAGAGATATAGAGAGAATCTAATCCGATGTTCTGTTCACTTCTTCTTTTTCCATCTTTCTCCCATTCCATAAGAATAATGGCAAAGAAGCTAGAAAACAATGGCAAAGGAATATAGTGAAGGAGAAAATAAATGTACCTTTTGGCAAATATGCCACTGTGTTCTTTTCTTCAATAAAAACATACATGAGTGCTCTGTTTATTAGAAAAACTTACTCATGAGGTCTTGCTTAGATTTCTGTGAGCTTGTCCATCATCAGGGTCCTTGAGTTCATTCATTGGCTGGACTGTGCATATGATTAAGATATCTGTAAATGCCCCAATTGTCTTGATCTTCAGTAGCCTTATTTCCCCAAAGTGTAACTATTGAACAAATATGTATTGGGCATGCCAACTTCTTGTTTTATTTATAATATTGATCACCTGTCAATTTGAAGAATAACATGAAATCAGATGCTATATTTTAATAAGGAAGTATCATCAAACCAGTACTCAACTCTAAATTTGGGGGGGGGTAATTATGTGAGAGCTAAATATATAACAAAGTTGTTAAATTCATCGCTTTAGGAACATTTGTTTCCCACGCTTATGAGGTAATCCACAAAATCAGAATTATTTGCCAGTCTATGTTGAAAAATAATACAATATTAAAATCCCATCAAACAACCATGAGAAGCAATAGTGGCAGCAAATGGTTCAAATTTAATTGTTTAATAAAACTACTCAGTTTTATTAAATCTGAACTGCTGAGAAAATTAACATCCGGTTCAGGAGAACCAGTGCAAACCGGTAGCAGCCCACCTCTGAATTACTAGGACCATAACTTGATAGTAACTAGGCATGCTTAAATACATACTGTATTGTATTAATATGAGATAAGGAGATATATAGAAAACAGTTTGGTTTCTCTCTCTCTTTTTCACACACACACACACATATTCACATACTCAAATTCATAGAAAAAAATCAAGCATGGCTTAAAATAAAGGCTTAGCTGTACTTTTTATGTAGCCTTCTTATGCCAACCTTTAGTTCTATTCATGCTTTTTCACTCCTATGTCATTCTTGCTGAAAGCGCATATGCTGTGGTTTTGTGGGATCCTGCCAGACCACAGATGTGGAACTGAATATTTGACTTCTGACATCAGGAAAAAACCAGAATAGAGGCTCTCTATCACTTCTTTGTTCCATATTACCAAATGTCGTCACATCATTTTTCATAACAGCACAGTGCCCAAATTAATGGGGAAACCCATTTAAAACAATTCAAATCTCACGTCTTCCCACTAGATTTGGCCTTCCTGTTCTGAAATTCCTACAAGATTTCAGCATTTTCATCCAAAGTTCTCTCTTGATTTTGTGTGAGAAAACTGAAAGGCAGGATCTGGCAGTTTCACAAGATTCAGCCATTTATTTATTCAGGGCTGGGGGATTTCACATAGAACTGTCCCAGGTGACATGAATGGCTAAGGGCGCAGCGTTGCTGATCTTTGCCATAACAATTCCATTCAGATGTGCATGTTATTCAGAATAGTGAGTTCAGCTAAAGAAGGCTGATATTACTAGAATTAAAGACTTTGAATGTTGTTATATGTTCGTGTATAACTGAAGAATGAAGAAATCTATAATTTTCAAGTGACTATAATTCAGAATTATGGGAGTAAACAGACATTTTGTGGTCCACTAAGGGCCCTCTTACATTGCTTGTGAATAAATTAATAGATATTTCCTGGCAAGTTGATAGGATGGTAAGATTTTGCATTACATAATTCATGAAGCTGGCCCCAAAAGAGCTGTATTTCAAAGAATAATCACCTCCCAAATAGGCTACAATCTATTTTTTTTATTTCTTCTATCTCTCTTTCTTTCTTTTCTTTTCTTTTTTTTTGCAATCTCACAACCCTTCTTTTTTCCTCACTAGCATTTTCAGTCAAATAGCTTCAAAGTTCTTTTCACTAACCACAGAGTGCCTAGTTATTTTCACTATCCAAATATCACGATATAATAACCATAGTAAAGAAACTGCCAGAAGAGGTATTTCTAAAGCAATGATTATCTCTGAAGTTGAACTAACTGTCCTGTTGGAGGGGAAAGGGCAAGAGAGGGGTCTGTGCTTACTTTAAGTCCTTGCTCAAAATATTGTGCACTGTCCAGAAAAGTTTACAAAATCTATGGGTGAAAAAAAAGTACCTTAAAGGTCACCACCATATTTGGCAGAGGATGTCCACCCTCACTATCTTTAGGTTATAACATTTCACATTAATGAAATCATCACCATACTCATAATTTTACTCTCGATTAAGGCAAATGAGTGCTTCCCTACAAAACTATTGTTCTTATGGGAAAGTGCTGCATATACCTACCAACCACTACGAGTGAGACAGTTATTAAGTGAGTTTTGCCCCATTTTATAACCTTTCTTGCCATAGTTGGCAAGTGAATCACTGCAATTGTTAAGTTAGTAAGAAGTTAAGTGAATCTGGCTTCCCCATTGACTTTACTCATCAGAAGGTCACAAAAGATGATCACACATGACCCTGGGACATGTAACCATCATATATATGAGCCAGTTGCTAAGAGTCCGAATTTTGATCACATGACCATTGGGATGCTGCAACAGTTGTTAAGTGTAAAAAATGGTCATAAGTGACTTTTTTCAGTGCTGTTATAACTTCAAATGGATGGTTACAAGTCTGCATAAGTCATGTTGGCACTAAATTTGTTTTGTTTTCACAGGCAGCAATTCTTGTAGTTTCAGCTGATTGGAAGCCAAAGCAGGGAGGGGAAGACTAGAGTAATGCCTTTGTGCTCATTTCCTGCTTCTTCCCTTCTAATTTCATTGCATTTTAGGCAAAATCAACCAACTTAATATTAATTTTATTGACAAAGGACAAAGCCACATAGAGCAATCACTAATGATGAATAATGTTTATGTTAATAGTTGAAATAGTAAACAATTAAATATATGTTTATTTTTTAATAAACATAATTTGCAATAGTTTGGGAGTTTGACTGTAATTCAACTTTATATATTAATTATGGTAGTATTCTTTTAGAAGGAGTTAATTTGTTACTGTATTGTTTTCTTTCGTTGTCTAATTTAACCATAATGTTTAGTTCTTTTCCATATAGTTCACTGCAAAGGGCTCATACTTCAGCCTTTATTTTTGACACTAAAAGGCAGAATATAAATATTTTAAAGAAAATAAATATCCATGTCATCATCTTAGGAGATACCACAACTGTTTGTGTGTGTGAGGGAGAGAGAGAAAGTGCCTTATCTGGAGTGGTGTGTTTCTAGGCTGCCTTCCCAATTGAAATTAGTCAGGCTTTCTCTATGAGTCTTTCACTAAAACTTAAAAGACAAGTTTACTTTAAGTGGTTTTTAATGTGCAACACTCATTTTAATGCTGTCTATTCTAATTACTGCCTATTCTAACATTGGGTTCCCTTTCTGCTGGATTTCTGCTGCCTTTGCTCTATTTGAAATATTGATTGCATTGTATTTTCTTTCTGCATGGTTTAAGAAAGTATCTGTTTTCACTAACTATATTAACATAATGTATTATATTTCATGCCTCTACACTATCATAACTGCATAGCTGGACTGCATCTACTGAGTATATTCTCTTAAATGTAGTTACTGTATAAAATATTTGTTTCCAAAGAAACAAATTAAGGTATATACCAGGGGTCAGCAACCTGCGGCTCCGGAGCCACATGCAGCTCTTTGGGCCCTCTGCTGTGGCTCCCTGTCAGGTGATCCCACCATCGGCTGACCCCGCCCCTTACCCTCCCCTCTCAATCACTCCTGGCCTGAGAATGTAAGGGTGACGGCAGGGGATGAAGAAGCGGACAGGGCAGAGACAGCGAGATAGAGGAGGGGGGAGAGAGAGACATAGAGAGATACAGAGAGAGAGGGAGAGAGGGGGAGAGAGAGGGAAGGAGGGAGGGAGGGGAGAGAGAGAGATGTCAAAAGGATTTTGTGGTTCCAGGTGTTTTTTTAACAACTGGTTCTCTGCCCTAATGACCGCCTGGGTGGGCATGGCTGGGGGGGTCATGTGACTGGTGGAAGTGAGTGACATCGAGTTGGCCACACCCACCCAGGTTTTGTGGCTCCCGGTGTTTTCTTTTCTGTGGGAAATGGATCCAAATGGCTGAGTATTTAAGGTTGCAGACCCCTGTTATACATATAAGTACAGTAGGTACTTATTCTATTCAATTCATTTAGTGACTGTTCGAAGTTACAACAGCACTGAAAAAAGTGACTTATGACCAATTTTCACTTACAATCATTGCAACATCTCATGGTCACATGATCAAAATTCGGGCGCTTGGTAACTGCATGTATTTATAACAGTTGCACTCTCTGAGGCTCACCATTTGTAACCTTCCCAGCTGGTTTCCAACAAGTAAAGTCAATGCGAGAAGCCAGAGTCACTTAACGATCACATGGTTCCCTTAACAATTGAACTGATTCACTTAGCAACTGTGGTAAAAAGGTTGTAAAATGGGGTTCAACTCATTTAACAACTGTCTTGTGTAGCAATGGAAATTTTGGGCTCGATTATGATTGTAAATTGAGGACTACCTGAAATAGCTATTCAGTTTTGTCATCCACTGTACTCAGTCTTTTTCATTCTCTGACAAAAGCTTACCTTTACAAATAAATGTCATGTTGATCTATGACACTAAATAAAGATTTGAGTTTGGTTTCAGAGGTGGCATTTAGCCAGTTTGCACCAATTCAGGTGAACCGGTAGCTGCGATCGTGGTTGGGCTCGCCCACCACTCCGGCTCCAAGTCATGCTATTTAGGCACATTTTTGAGGCCGGGCGTATGCGTGGAAGGTCAGGCACATGCGCGGATAGCACGTGCATGTGAAGTGAGCATGCGCGCACAGCAAACCAGTGGTAAAGGTAAGTGAAACCCACCCCTGTTCGGTTTGGGTTGGGTTGAATTGGAAATCCTACTAACCCTGGCATGCTGTAACTCATCCAAATACTCTAGGAGGATTTTAGAAATGTATCCTACCTATCTTTTTAATGTCTTGTCTATGCCTTGAGGAAGGACACAGGAAAGTAGCCATTCAAGCAATTATGCTATGAGAGTAAGAAAAGATTCTAAGTGAAAAGAACAGTATTTCATCTTCAATGCTCAATTCTCAACCTATCCCACTGAAATTGCATTAAAACAAGGCTAGGACAGAACTGCTCCACCTAACTGTTCCTGTCAACACTGATAAATGACCAGCGACATGGGTTGGAATTTGGCAATATTTGAAGACATCATTCTGTGGATGATTAATTTTGTCATAAATAGTTATGACATTCTGCTGCTGTACCAGATGATTTTTTAAGGATGGAATGAAGATTTTTGTTTCTGTAATCACCACATAGGATTAGTTTTGAGTATTTTTTTTT